AATTAAAACAGACATTGGCGGGGGTGGGGGAAGACGAACGAACTGGGGAGGAGGGTAGAGAAAACAGTGCAACAATGAATGAATGAGAACCCAAAATCTCTGTAAATGTTCATTAAAACTAATAAACTTTAATAATAATTTTAAAAAATTAAGCTGAGAGGGATTATTTGGAATCAACAATTTTTCTCAGTATAAAAGTGAGGAAGGAATAGGTTCTTTTTGCCAAGGTCAAACTCACTAAACTCCAGCCTGTTTGCACTGATATGGGGCCCTGGATGAGCCTGGCCAGGGTGGTCTGTCTCTGTCTTTCTACAATGAGAAGAGTCCCTGGGATGTTGTCTGGCCTCTCTGCCTGCTGACTGCATCTCAGGGTACTAGTGCTGGGAGACGTAATTCCTTTTTTGCTTCTTCACATTTATTTTAATTATAGACTAGAATTAATCTATGTACTTCTCTAATGTAACTGAAAGTTGACAAAGCACATTGATTTTTTTGTTGTTCACTCCTCCTTGGATATTTTGTTTTATGCCATTATCTCTCATTGATGGATGTTTTACAATTTTTATAATGTTCAATTAATCCACTGGTGGGCATTGCCTGTCCCTTCACCTGCCTTATCTGGAGAATCTCATTTTCTCTGCTGTCCTCTTCTCCAGTACCACAATTGGAAGTTTTCAAAGCTTTTTCTCTAATCCTTCTTCTTTGCGAAGAATGGGTAATCTACTCTCATGGAATTAACTGTCTCTGAAAACCTGCTGGAGGGTCAGCTATGCGTTGGTAACAACAGGGAAAAGCCCATGTATGTGAGGCGAAGTTTTATCATCTTTGCCTCCAGGGAGCCCTCTGGCTACACCTTCTCCAAGACATATCTGTTCTTTTGGCGGTCCATGGAATGTTCAGCACTCTTCTGCAGCACCACAGCTCCAAGATAGCTCTGTTTTGTCCGTTATGGATTAGTCAGTCTTTCATTAGCTGAGATCCAGTGTAATCCTTTCCCTGGGGAGATATCAGAGAGGGAATTCACACGCCAGGATGTGATCTGTAAGAAAAGCCAATGAGATGAGAGGAGGGGCCGCAGAGGTGTGGCCTGTTCCAAATAAGTACCAACATTTCGACAGCATTTTATCTGTGTGGGTCTCCTCTGACGTTCAGCTCCTCTGAGAATCAGAGCCAGCTTCTGGTTGTCCGCTGTCTACCGCTCTTTGGCCGCTGGTCTTCACCGTCCTCTGAAGCATCAGCCTTCCAGCCTACTCTCTCCTTCTGACGTGGGGATTTAGAGAAGCCTCCAACTGCCGCCATATTGAAAGGTTTGGAACCTGTTAGACTTCTCCAAAGTAAGTTGGGAAGGGTTATGAGCAGGCCTTGAGCCTTATGTGTGGGGTGCTGAAGGGTAAGGAGGGCCGCAGCCCCTGGAGGGCGCAGTGATGACCTGAGATCTCCCAGTTACTCTTCTTGTTGGCTGTCAAATTGGAACTGACCCATAGCTCACCCTCTAGTGGTTTTCAGAGGCGGTAAACGGTCCCTCTTTTGTTGCACACTTCCTCATGGAGCTGAGGCTCTGTGGGACATCCCGCAGGGAGAGGGTTACACCAGGTCCCAGCTCATCAAGGACATGACTAAATCATAACAGTGAAAGCAAAGACTCTTGGGCTGTGATGTGGGGGAAGAATATGGACGATTCCATGGATTCGAACCTCGGGACTTTGCGGTTGTAGCATAGCGTCTAACCACTAAGACATCAGAACTCCCCTTCAGATCTCGCTACCAACCACAAATCTGTTTTCATTCATGAGCGTGATTGCTGTACATTCTGCTTTGAGGAGCCCCGGGGGCTAGTCAGTAGGGAGTTGTACTGCCAACCCAAAGGCAGCAGGTTTCAATCTAGCCTCTGCTCCGAGGGAGAAGGATGACAATCCCTTTGCATGCAATTTACCTGTGCTGAAAAGTCCCTGGGGGCTCCACTCTGGGCTGCTTGGACTTGGTGGCAGTAGGTCCTTTTCCTTACTTGGAGGAAGTAGCTGTTCCCTAGTTCTACCTGAGGGGCTCAACCCCAGCCCCTCGCTGAATAATGTTCCACATTCGCTCATAAGACATTGTTTTTTTTATTATTATAATTTATTTTATTTAACAATCTAAGAAGTTCGCAGCCATCAGCAGTTCCAGTGCAATTTCAGGTGCAATTGGGAATTCGGGAATCTCAGTGGAGCTGTTAGTGTAGCGAACCTTGTAGGTAAAATACATGCAAACTTTTGATAGCACGTGTGAAGGGATCTCTCTAAAATTGACCTCATTGGTTTCATTTTCAGCAAACTGACCTGGGCCACTCAACATGGCTTTTATTGTTCCTGATGTTAGTGCATGTTCTCTTTTTATAATAAATTCATGAGCATCAGAAGATATCAATTTGACATACATGGCATCTGGGCCTTCACAGCCACCGTAAGTTTTCTCCTCTCCATCCAGTATGCTCTTCGAAATTCTACTTTGTTTCCACAGGAACTTTAGTAGCTTTCTAGAGAAACGGGATGCAGTGAGCGTCTCTCTGGCTTCCGTCGGGAGGAAGTGCTCATAGGACATTGTGAGGCCATTGTTTCGTAAGCAGGTGGCCCATGTGTGTCCTCATCCATTTCAGTGTGGGAGCCCCACCATGCTGTTGTTGTAATGTACCCCCTTGGGTTGGGACTGACTCATAGCTGACCCTCTGCACGTGTCCATGGGGAGGAAATAGCACCGGAGGGGTTGCCCATGGTTCCCTCAGAGTGGCTGCTGGATAAGGAAGGGGCTCGGCTGCATTGATCCTTCCCACTATCCTCCAGAGCCCCACCCAGGACTAGAGACACAGTGGATTAAGGTGTCAACCCTGTGGGACCTTTGACGGTGTCTTCATCCAATGCCAAGGAGTATAATCCTCTCTGGGTGAAGACGTTCTAGGAACACTCCCCTCTCTGATAATGTCTGCTTACTAATAAACAGGGATAGTAGTGGTTAATAGTGATCAGGTGATCATCATAACTGAGGTGAGAGGGAGGTCTTCAGGCTGGCACCCCGCTCCCAACACTCGTGAGCATCTCTGAGCACAGTGTGCTAGCTTTACTCCCTACAGATCCCAAGCCTACTTGTCCTCCACGCCTGTTTGTAGGTGCTCTGTTGGTTGCACTGCTGGTCCTGACATTCCTCTCCCTCTGGAGCTTGAGAACTTGCACTCAGCCTTCTGACCAGGCTGATGCTGACAAGACTATGAGCTTACACGAGATCCCAGAATCTGGGACTTGGACTCTCTACACCACTGGAAAATGGAAAAGATGAGTGTTGTGGCTTGAACCAACTAGCAAGGCTTCAGAGAGTCTGGGGGATGGGTTTGGGGGGCCTTAGCTCTCGCTGCCGACCACTAACCATATTTCCCCTTGGAGCAGGAGAGCGGCATGGACAGACAGAAGCCGCTCAGACTCGTGGACCTGGCCGCCCAGAGCCTTTTAGAGGATGAAGCCGCTGCCATAGCCACCCTGCAGTCACTTCAGAGGGAATGCTTTCCGCCCCTGTTCGTGTTGGCTGTTGCAGGCAGACGCTGCAGAACGGTCCAGGCGATGGTAGAGGCCTGGCCGTTCCCCTACCTCCCCCTGGGGGCTCTGCTGAAAACTCTGCAGTGTGATCAGGACATCTTGAAAGCAGCCCTCAAGGGCATCGATGTGCTGCTTACCTGTGACTTTCGACCTACACATTGGAAACTCCAAGTGCTGGATCTCAGAAGTGACGCTGAGACCAACTTCTGGCATGTGTGGGCTGGGCTTGGAGATGGGGTCTCAGCGAGCCTCTCATGCGAGAGTGTGGCTGCGCAGGCCAGCCCAGAGAGGCGCGGAGTGGGGCACGCCTGCACAAGAGAGAAGGAGCAGCACTCGGCCGAAGCGGGAGTGCTGGTGCTGCTGTCGGACCTGTGCTTCACGGAGCCCTCTCCAGATGAATTGCTCACTTTCCTTGCGAAGAGGGTCAAAGAGAACAAACTACTACCCCAACTGTGCTGTAGGAGGCTACAGTTTATTTTTGAGCCATTGACATTACACATTATCACAAAGATCTTTGATAAGGTACACCTGGACTGTGTGGAGGAGGTAGAAGTCCGCTGCCACTGGGAAATGAAATACATCGTTAAATTTACTCAATACCTGCGGAAGATGGTTCATCTCAAGAGCTTATACTTTGGTCAAGCTTTTCTTGACCACTGGACCCACTGGGAGGCAACAGCGGTAACGTGGCTGTGTGCTCATTTCTCCAGCGCGGTAGTACACCTGCAGCATCTCCGCCACCTCCACATATGCGGAACCAGCTCTCTTCTTGGCCAATTTCATCAGGTCTTCAGGCACCTGGAGGCCCCACTAGAGAGCCTCGGCCTTACTGATTCTTGTATAACAGGATCTGACTTGGAATACTTGTCCAGGTGTTCGAGCATCTGCCGCCTGAGTATTCTGCATCTCAGAAATGTGCAGATGGTAGGCGTAGATGCTGGGTTCCTCAACATTCTGCTGGAGAGAATCTCAGGCACCCTGAAAGAACTGGACTTGAGTGGCTGTGGCATGACTGACACCGAGTTCACAGCCATCCTCCCTGCCCTGGGCCGCTGCTCCCAGCTCGATTTCCTCAGGTTCTGTGGAAACTCGGTCTCCATGGACGTCCTGCAGAGCCTGCTGCTGCGCACCCTCCCTCAGAACATGATCAGGGTGCTGGAGACGCCGCTCCCTCGGGAGTGCTATGTGAGCTGCGGAGGAACGAGAACCGTAGACATGACGACTGTGCGGAATTGGCTGGACCAGCTGAATCAGATCCTGGAGGACCTGGGACTGGGGTTGGAATGGTTAGAGCAGAACCTTTACCCAGAGAAAAACTGTATTTCAGTAACCTTCGACTTTACACTGTAGTTGTCTTCCATTTCCTGAATTTCTGTCCTGTTGGAACGGGAAAGGAAATAAACGTGTTTGTCCAAGCCACCCCCTTGTGTTTCTTTTACAGCAACAGCCAATTACGCGTTGGAGAGGGTCCCTAGGTAAGGCATTTCCAGACTCCTTAAGGATGGGGGCGGGCACGGGATCCGGTCTGTTTGCCCGAGGGCAAGCATCTCCGGAGAGGCCTGTGTGGAGCTGCTGTGTGCCAGGTGCACCGGAAGCGGACGTGCTGGGGAGCTGGGGTCCACCTGTCTTCCTACAGTGAGGAGGGTCCGGGCGACGCCCTCTAGCCTCTTCCTGCAGCCCAGCCCAGGCCGCCTTCCTTAGGCGCTGGCTTGTCCTGAGGGCCGTCAAACCCTCGAATTTTGCTGCTTACTTCCAGCTCATCCTCCCAGTCAGCAGCGCTTCAGCCACCCTGACCAGCTGCCCTGGGTGGGTGCGGGTCACAGGCTCCTCCCAGCTCCCTGTCCGCCTTCTGCCCTGAGCTGCTGCTTCCACGCAGCTCTGGGATTCCATGGTCGTCCTGCCGGGCCTGTAGGGGTGCAGGTTCCCTCGGTGCTGAAACTCCAGGTTGTCCCCGACCCGCCTGATTGCTGCATGGCCACCAAGGAAATCCAGGAAATCGACACTGGGAGACTTTCCCTGGGCTGGCAGCCCCACTGGGCCACGTCCTTCTGGAGCAGGGCTTTGGGGAAGCCGTCAACAGGGTGACCGCCAGCCCTGCAGGAGACATTTGTGAGGTGCCTTTCAACACGATGGCATCAGTGTGGTTTCATGTTTATTAAATTTTTTTATTAAAATTTAACCTGTATAACTTTTTTACGGCATATTCTTTCCATTTAATTTCTTCCCCATTCATTTATTCATTCATATTGTACATGTTCCTCCCCTGTCTATCCCTCTTCCTAAGTTAGTTTTTCTCTTTGAAAAGACAAATCCTTCCATTGTTATAACAATATCCCCCAAAGTCCAGAGTCCACTTTATTATGCAATTTTTTTTCTGTAATCTTGTCATGAAAAGAATTGTTCTTGTAGTGGTTAAGTGCCGTCGAGTCTCAGACGACTCATAGCGACCCCAAGAAGGAGAGTACTCAACGCTGGGTGTCTCTGGTCCTCTCTGCAGGTTCATAGGGTTTCCGGAGGCAAGCTATTGTGGAAGTGGATGCCACTCGTCCTTCCAACATGAAAAGAATACCTACTCCTATATTCCTTTTAAACAGTTCTCTCCCTCATCTGCTTCAATGCATTGTACGTCATTCATCCCTTCTCTTAGGTTCACTCAACCCTGGTGTCAGCCCCGTTATACATCAGTGGCATTATGTAACATTTCTCCTTTTGTGAGTAAGATATTTCACTGAGCATGTGCTCCAGAGTCACCCATTTTGTATGTTATTTCATGAGTTCTTTGGGTGTTTTTTTTTTTTACTTTATAAAAAATGCTTTTAAAGAAAGTTTACAGAGACGTAGGGTTTCCAGTCACTCATCGTTTTACTTTTCTCACTGCCCCTCTTCCAGCCCCGCCCCGCCAAAAAGTTCCTTGTTTTTCAATGCAGCGTAGTATTTCATAGTGTGAATATACGACAGCTTCTCTATCCATCCGTTTGTTGATGGGCACTTCAGTTGTTTCCAACTCTTTGCTATTGTGACCAAACTAGCAGCACACAGGGGTGTGCACAGATCTGCTTGGGTGGCACTTAGGTTTTCTTTAGGGTGTGATTCCAGCAGAGGAATTGCTGGGTCAAGTGGTATTTCTAACATTTTGAGAAAGCGCCATCCTGCGTCCCAGAGTGGTTGCACCGTTTCACACTCCTACCAACAGGGACCAAGGGTTCCAGTTTCTCCATAGCCTCACCAGCATGTGCTGTTTGCTGCTCTTTGAAGTTTGCTGTTCTTCCTGGGCTGACATGGTATCTCGTAGCTGTTTTCGGCGTGCACACCTTATCCTACACGCTTGTGTGTAAGGGATGGTATCTCAGAATCCCACTGTCATAGGGTCACGGCAATAGGCTCCGAGTCGGCCACCACCGCTTTTCTCTCTCCTCATGGTTTGGGTTGCGACACAGCCCATTTCCGAGAGAAGCTCATGCTCACTCTGGCAGCATCTCAAGTCCGATCCAGGTGGTCCGTTGGCTAAGTCGCATGGGGCTGAAATGGACTCCCCCGAATGGAACGGCCACGTCCCCGTGACTCTCGGAGTAGGAGCTTTAATACGGTCTCTGTGCGCTGACGCGACCATGGGAAGATCGGAGACATCGCGAAAAGCTAATGAGAAGAAAGCTAAAAAAGAGAAGCCAGAATCTACCAAGACAGAAGAATCAGTAGAAGAAAAAGAAGACACTGTTTCCCCCAAAGCTAAAAAGATGAAAAAGAAAGCCGAGCCTTCTGAAGTGGAAATTATTTCCCCTAAATCTAAAAAGGTGAAAAAGAAAGAAGAGCAGTCTCAAGATGGCATGATTTCACCCAAAACCAAAAGTGTGAAAAAGAAAAAGGAACCTGCTGAAGATCAAGTTGCTTCTCCTAAAATAAAAAAAGCAGTAAAAAAATGAAGAACCTTCAGAAGAAGAAATGGATGCTCCTAAACCTAAGAAAATAAAGAAAGAAAAGGAAATGAATGGAGAGATTAAAGAAAAAAAACCTAAAGTGA